TAGGTAAAATAAGAAAAATGATCCGAACAGGAAATCGTCCTTTATCACAGGTGTGCCGACGTCTTTATGAAAATGAAAATATTCCAAAAGCAAGTCCAATTTTCACTAAAATATCGATTTTAAAACAGAAAAATGATTGCAATGATAAACCTATTATACTTAAAGTTAATTATAAAGGATTTACATTAAGTATCAAAAAACCTAATAATATCGTATTATTGAAAAATGATTTGATAGTACAAATAACTGAAATTCTATGTCATTCGTTACAAAATGATACTTTTGAAATTAAAGGATACGTTTGGGAAACAATGAGATGTATGTATACGTATCCTCTGCTATCAAATAATTTACAAGAGTGGAAATTGACAAGAAATATATCTTCTACGATAATTTCTTGTAATATACATGACATTTATAGTAAAATTGTTGTAATTCCAATAATTCGTATAAAAGATGGCAAAGAAGTTGAGGAATTTTATTGTTCAGCATTATTACATGCTGAAGAATATTAATGTAGACGAAAAATTATTTGGATGGATATGTATATATTGCATCAGTTATGTATATTTCTATATATGTGTATTACAAGAATTTATCGTAGAAGATATATTTCTGATATACATATATGTGTGTATATGTACATATTTATTGTGTATTGCATCAATATAAATGTATATTGCTGTTTCAATAATGAATTACGATATCATTACAATTATGATATGCGTTTGTATATAACTGTATTGTATAATTATCTTACGCGTAAACGACATTTATTATATATAAATTGCTAATTATACTATAAAATATTGCGACAATAAACATAATGAGAGAAAACACAAGTTTCGGTTATAGTTTTGTTAGAATTATATATATAAAGTTATTATTACTAACAATTTTTTTAATCATTTTCTAACTATTTTCTTACTAACTAAGCATTTAAAATGACATAATATTATCAATAATACAGTCACTATTATTTAAATTATACGCAATTTGCAAAAGAATATTGACAAATTTTCTGTTCGGATTCGTAGAATTTGTTTTTAGCTGATTTGGTATAGAAATAAGCCACAAATATACAAATTATGAGTTTGTATTTCTTTAATTAGCTAAATAAGTTTTTAGTAGTATTAATAAGGTGCAATGGTTAGTTTCTGAGAAATAAGGGGGTGTCATTTGAGAAGATATGTCGGTATCGGTGACTTTCCTCTACATATAAATTTTAACTAATTTTCTCAGAAAAATTCTGAACAGTTCTAATCAATGCTTCTTATTATATTCTTCTTTTACCCTTGTAAAAATATATGTAATATAGAAATTATAGAAATATATGTAATACTAATACTGGCCAAAATAAATCACTTATTTTGATTATTATTATCAGTATTTTAAATACTCAAAGTAAGTGATTAATTAGTCAGTATATTAATATCTATAAGGGTAAGAACTGCATAAGAATTGGTTAAGAACTGGTTAAGAATTGGTTAAAATTGTTCAGAATTTTCTTAGAAAAAAAATTAGTTAGAAATAGTCAAAAATTGGTTAAAGACGATTAAAAAATTGATTATGAATTAGTTAAAAACTGATTGAAAACTATTCATAAACTGCTTAGGAAATGATCGTAGATGGCTTAGAAATTGTTCATAAAATAATAAAAAAGTAAAAAACTGGACAGAAATTGTTAAATAAATGGTCAAAAGTGGTTATAAATCATTTAGAAACTATTCACAAAATAATAAGAAACTAGACAGAAAATGGTAAAAAAATGGTCAAAAAGTGGTCATAAACTGCTTAGAAATTGTCTATAAAATAATAAAAAATTAAGAAACTAGACAGAAACTGTTAAAAAAATGATCAAAAAGTGGTCAGACACTAGTCAAAATCTTGTTAGAAATTGACTAATTTTACTATCTAGTTATCGGTAAAGCAAGCGTCGCCCAAACCTGTTAGTTTTTGATCAGTTATACTGGCCAAAAACTGCCTAGTAACCAGAATTCCTGGCTAGTTTTTGGCTAATTTCTGGTTTGTTTTCTACTCGGGACGTTTCGGTATATTTTAGACCATCATCAGTAAAAATCATTACAATTAAAAATATTCAAAAGTCATACAATCATCGCAAGAGTACATTTACACAATCCGTTCTCGCATTTTTTATATAATAAAATGTTATTACGTGCTTGTTCGTTTCGTCGATCGAAATTGTCGATCCTATTGTATTGTTTAAATCCGTTTTTTAACGTCAAGTGCTTCTAATATTTGTCAATTTAATGGATCTTCTTATATATTGTGAATGTTTTATTTCCTTGTTTGCACAGAATTTCCAGAAACTGTGATAACATGATTAGAATCCTCTGTTAAATGTAGCAATTGACAGACCTTATACATTTTATTTTTGTGATTTATTTTCTTGTGAATTACAAAAATAAAATGTATAAGGTCTGCCAATTGCTGCATTTAACAGAGGATTCTAATCATGTTATCACAGTTTCTGGAAATTCTGTGCAAACAAGGAAATAAAACATTCACAATATATAAGAAGATCCATTAAATTGATAAATATTAGAAACACTTGACGTTGAAAAACGGATTTAAACAATACAATAGGATCGCCAATTTCGATTGACGAAAGGAACAAGTACGTAATAACATTTTATTATATAAAAAATGCGAGAACGGCGAATTGTATAAATGTACTCTTGCGATGATTGTATAACTTTTGAATATTTTTAATTGTAATGATTTTTACTCATAATGGTCTAAAATAGATCGAAACGTCTAGACAAATTTACTGTTTATTTTTGCTCATTATAGCGCTGTGGCTGTATGCTCTTTGTTTTGATTTTTTATGAAATAAATTTCTATCTCTTTCTCTTATATAAATAAAAAAAATAAAATAAGTTCTTTGTACATAATTTTGAAGTCTTATTGTGTTATATCATTACCTTATCTACACTCATAAATCCTTCATCAGAATGAACATAAGTTAATAATGTTTTATCTTCATTTAACGTGACTTTAATCACATCATTATTTTTAGTCTGAAAGAAAAAAAATTTAATTTAAAAAATATATAAATGTTATGGAAACTATTATAGTTAAAAAAATCTAATAGAGTTTTTAAATGGAAATATAGGTATATAAATTAAATTACTTGTGTATATATAATGACCTTATTAATGTTGACCTTATTAAGATTACTTAATTTCTTTTTTCGTTGACATATTGTAGAACGGGGAATAGGAACGTTCGTGAAGAGGTATTTTTTGTATTTCATAATTAAAAATAATCTGCAAATTAGAAATACATATGAATTAAACATTAGAGAAGTTAATATGACAAGCAGTATCTCTTAGATTGAAAAATCGATCAGAAACAGTACGTATATTATTCGTGTAACATGCGATTAAAATTGGATGGGCGATTCGTTTACTAACAAATAAACAGCTAATCTATAAATGAACAGATAATTATACCATTCAACCGTCTGGAGAATATATATAAACTAACTGCTTCAAGATGGCTTGCTTCATGCAGCTTTATTTCGTCGTATATCCCTTTCAGTTGTATTTATTACGAATGAGGTAGTTATTACGACGCGGTAGTTTTATATGTATAAGTGATTAAAAGATCCAAAAACTAGACCGTATAACGATTATTTCAACGAGTTATGTACTGATATCGACATATGTTGCTCGGTATTAAATCGAGTTCGAAAATGAATTCTTTCTCGTATAACTTTATTAAACAGATGGATAGACGGTGAGATTTTTAGCGTATGTACAACTACAAGAATCCCCAAAGGCACGCGAACTAGAATTGACTATAAATACCGGCCTATGGCCGTACTGCGCTGTCTGTTCTATTGGACCAAGTTTGTAATCACGTCACTTCACGCATGTGCACCAAGTTTCCTCGAGCAGACGAATTCTTGCCATCTTCTATCTCGGCTCTCGAACACGTCTGTGCCGGTTTACTCTAGTACGCAAGCGTATTAATATCTTTGTTCGTCGTATGTAGAGACCTAGAAAACAGAGATGCGTCATTGAAGGGTATGGTTTGATTGGCTGTCTAAATTTAATTCACTATTGCATCTAATAGATATAGTTTTATAACGTATGTACATATATATAGAGAGAAAAATTTAGACAATACAGTGTCGAAGTGCAATAAAAAACTATTATTATGGTGTAAGTATTTTTATTTGTGTGAATATTTAATATCGGACTTAACCTAACCTAATCTAATCTTTCTACCTTTTGCATCAACTGTCATCAGCTTATTGGTCAAGAGCACTTATATTGAATTCAAATGGCGGTGGTTACCTAACCCAACCGACGCAATGTCGCATCTCTGTTTTCTAGGCCTCTAGTCGTATGTATTGTGTACATCGTGCTGCTGTGTGCTTCGAGTGGCGGGAAGAATCTCTTTTATTATCGTTATTAGTGAGAAGAATTTGCATTTAGAATACAAGAGAATTAAGCTGTTTTTATTACAATTGTAGTTTACATTTTATTAAAAGATGGCTTCGGCATATAAACAATGGTATGCAACAGTTAAATATTTTAATGGTGACGTTGAGAATGTGTCTATACGTAAAATAAAAACTCGAGAGGGTAATCATTTTGCTCCTAAAAACTACAAAGATTTTAGTTTCAATTGTCTGTACTCTGTGAAAACAGCTATGAATGATGTAGAAGGGAAGGAACAACGATACTATGCCTTTATTGGCAGACTTGCAGGTAAGGATCTACATAATCGTTTTTCAAACAAATTATTTACATAAAAAATGCTATGAAAAATTTTCGATATTTGTGTAAACTTACATAAATGTAGCGTGATGTCTTTTTATATTATAGGAAATCTTCAAGAATTAAATAATAATACAAAAAGAATTAGTTGGCCTATGTGGCCCTCAGATATAAATGATGAACCTAATAACACTTCTCAGGATGAAGCAGAAAAACAAGACGAAACAACGCATTCTTCTATTTTAGCATGCCGAGAAAAAGCTGTAAGTAGAACTTCAAATTTTTGAACAATTTTAAATCTCAACCGTGTTTATAATGTTAGAAATCGCCTTGATCGAGATCTCGATAAAGGAAAAAATTAACAAATCACAATTTGATTAATTAACCAATACAACTGGTGAATTCTTCTAGCATCGTAGACATCAATACTTAATCGCACATTTGGTATATTTTTAAAAATATATATATATAAATTGTATGTATAGATACAAAAGCAATCTAAAAAAAAAACAGTAAATGAAGAGTATAAAAAGTTTTTACACAATTATAATATTGAAAATACATCAAAAAATTCATCAAGTAGCATCAATAATAATACATCTAGACTGACAACAAGAGATGCCGATAATGACCAATCTATAAGTTTAACTGTACCACAGCTAAAAAATTTATTAGATGAATGCGTAATAAAAATAAAAGAGAAAATTAATGAAAAAGGAAAAATTCTAGAAGAAAAAATAGCACAAGTTTTGTTACAATCGACTGAAAATACTCTTAAAATGGAGGAAATATCAAGTAAATTTTATTATTTCAGAACTTTAAATAATGCTAAATATGTTATAGGTTGGTTATATAAATTGCCCAACAATTCTAAAATACTATTAGGTGAGTAGATTTATTACATTTAATAAAATAGAGAAAGCATCTTTGCTTTAAAATTAATTTCATAAAGATTTTCTGTTTATAAAAGTTATAACTAACAATCTTTACACTTGCAATAGTTTATATTATATTATATTTTTGTTATTTATAATATTGCTAGGTATATAGTATAAATATTGCATTATTGCAATAGCTATTAAATCAGTATCATTTGTCATGCTATTATACAAATACGTAACATATATAACCTTTACATACACATACTTTATTCTTATTTTAAGATCATTTTTTAGAAATGTTTTAAAATTATGACTCTGATTAATTGGTTTGTGACATCTTAAGATTCTACACATAACAGGATCTTATATAAATAAAAAAAAACTATAAATATATCCACTATAAATATTATAAATTTATGGAAACATTTATTGTAAATATATTAATACATCATTTATTGTAAATATGTATGTTAATACATTATCAATTATATACTAATACATTAAGTTAAATATTAAAATTTACTAATTATTTAAAGAAAAAACATACTCTGGAAGTAGCAGCATGGACAGTGATGTATCTTTAAAAATTAATGAGAAAGTATACCATGCATATTTCTCATCTCTTTGAAATGCCTTTGACTACAATTTTCATAATATCTCATAATAACGTAAAAAAATTTTGTATTTTAAATTTATGAGAATTTCTAAAAAAAATCTACAGATTTTATATATTTTATTCAGAACTTATACAATGTTTCCTATTTTTTTTATCAAGTAGTGCATTTTGCTATTATATTTTCTTATTTTTGTGTCATTAATCAATTTTTATAATAAGAACAATCATACTGGGAATTTAGGTACATCTTGGAAATGGTATTTATTGTTCACGAGCAAACTTTCATGCAATGGACATAGCAAAAAATGATTGTGACTGGGCCATAGCTCTCCTTATTGGAGTGTTTGGCGAAAATGCAAAATTAATGAGGGTTTACCCAAGAAAGTCAGAGCTACAAAAATTTCCTCTTACTTTTTTGGTATTAGCTCAAAGTGAGTTTCATCGTTATAAAGCTGTAACGTTCTTTATACTGTATGTATTTTATGTTTATATTTTATTTTTTTATATTTTGTAGCTTTATACAGAGAACGATTAAAACAAAAAAAATATGAAGGTGACATTGAAAAGAAAGTGAAGTCATTACCAGCTTATCTGTCTGACCGAGCACTAGATCTTGCAGAAGCAAGAGGTACGACCTCCCATAAACGCTTACAGAAAGACAAAAATAAGGATAATATATCGAAGAGGTTAGTTATTGACTATAGATTTTGTATGTAATAATTACATTTATTTTTAAGGTTGAGTGGCGTCACCGCTCAGTGCGATTGACTCGCGATCTGTAGACCCGAGCCCAATCCCATCCAAACGCGATTTTTCGCGTTTATGAAATCAAAAATAACCTAGTGATTAAGAGATCTTATGCCTATTCTACAATAGAATCGTAAATCAAAAGGAATGAGCCAATCATAGCTCAATATGAAAAGAATAATCGATAATGATTGGTTAATTTTTTACGGCTTACAGTTTGCGACCTATTGTAGAACAGGCTTTATGCATCGTCTACAATGGACAGTAGCAGTAGTGGATTAAGGAATAGGCATAGAAATCAACAAATCATAATCAAATATGAGGAGGATAATTAACTATTGCATCATCTACAATACATGGAGTAAGAAGTAAGAGTAAGAAATTGACCCATCACAGTCGAATGTGAGAAGAATAATCAATTGTTATTGGTCAATTTCTTACTCTTCTTACTTCGTGTATTGTAGACGATGCATATCATTGGTCGATTTCTGCGCCTACTTCTTAATCCACTACTGCTACCGCCCATTATAAATGATATATTAATATGATCACCAGCGTCATTCAGATCCGGTTATAAATGGTATTAAATGGTCTTCTATATCATTACTATCATTAGATATGTTTTTACTCCCAGACTGGAGGTTGAATATTTAGTTGACAACCTAATTCCGAAAAAAGAATTTATTGTTAAAAAAAAGAAAAAACCTTATGTTGTGATATCATATTGTAAAGTATCGGACAATGACGTTATCAAAAAGACGTTATAAAACTGAATATATACATTTATTTTATAATTCTTTGGTTTTGTAATTATTTAATATGTGTTGTCTTTAATGATCGCAACTTAAGAGCATCGTTAATCCTTGTTACTTGATAAGCAAATTGTAACAAGCATGAAATAATATACTCATAAGCGTTGCAATAAGCATTAAGTAAGGCAATTTTAGTTACTTTTTTCATAATATAATTGAGAATATCTTTTAATAATATTTTTTTATTAATATTATTTTAGACAAAGGAAGGAGACGGAAACAGATGTACTTCCAGCTTCTACATTTATATCTACAACGTCATCAATTGCTGAAAAAGAAAACGATAAATCTCATGATATTTTATCTGTATCAATCGAAGATAATAATGATTTATCAAACATATGATTTAACAGACATAAAAAGAATAATAGACATGACAGTAAAATTTACCGTTTGATCTTTTTAAATCTATTATTCTTGTCTATTATTTTTATAATTACTTTCACGTACAGAGTGTACCAAACTGCAGATTATTAAAGAAAATTATTACGTTATTTAATTTTATATATATATATCAGGAGACGCGGTAGCGTCTCCGGCCATGTTCAAAAAAACTGTGAACGCTACAAGTCTCTTATCCCGAGCCACCAAAGTCCATTTTTGGGAGGTGCATAACTATTAAAATATAAAAAATTTTGAATCGAACGTCATATGTCCTGAAAGGCGGCATCGCCACGAGTAATTTGAGCCAAAAAAATTTTAAATCGGTCAAGCCGTTCTGGAGATATAAGCGGTCAAAAAGTGGTGATTTTAATGAAAAATTAAGAAACGTCTCTTTCTCTTCCTTCTTCTTCTTCTTCTCTGTCCGCATTTTTAAACTTTTCAACATCCTCTCTCACCTTTCACTCGCACCTCCACCATCTTTGGCCCACCGGACCTCCTCCACTCGCCTCTCCCCCTCCCTCCACCAACAACCCCCGCCACCCCTCTCTTCCACTGTAATTCACTCTTTTTCGTTATTACAACTTTTTGACTTCCTCTCTCACCTTTCACTCGCACCTTCACCATCATCGGCCCACCGGACCTCCAC